TCTATCTATCTATCTATCTATCTATCTATCTATCTATCTATCTATCTATCTATCATCCTGTCATCTATCTCTTAATCATCGGTTCCCTTTTTTCCCCTCCTTTTTTTTTCTATTATCTCTTTTAAAAGCACAAGTTCTCTCCTGTCACTGTCTCCAATCCAGCACTGCAGGGCACGCTCTTTGCTCTATCTTTCTTGTGTTTGTCTGTTCTTGTAGGGAGGACTCTGTTTTCTCTCCTTGAGATTTACTCGTTAGTAATCCATCTCATTGCCTTTGCTACCCTCCTCCACTTAGGCTGCTTTCTCCCTCTACTCTGTCTCTGTGCATCCTGGACTCTCTTCCATGAGGGGTCCAGGTCTGCAGGGGCAGATCAGACCTTATGTGAACCTGCCATGAGGACCCTGAGCTTGATTTCCCTTTCTGTACTGGCTCTTCTCAGTAAGGATGTCCTTATCCCAATGCAGGTCCTCAACCAGACCACTTACTGTAGCTCTGGTGCCCTGGGAACTCCTTCTCCGTGGAGCTTCTCTGCCTTGACCCTGGCACCTTTGCTGATCTACCACAGCCTTCATACCACCACTGTAGAGGTCCCTCTTGCTCTGCCAACTTATGGCTTTAGAACTGTGTTGCTCAAGGAAGAGGAAGGACAGGAGAAAAGGGAAATGCAAGAACACTTCCTGTTTCTTTTTTGTATTTAAAGGCTTTCTTGTATGTCTTTTCCCAACCTTTACTTTCCATTGTTTATGTTTCTTTAGGTTACACATGGATGGACAGACATCTTAAAGTTAAGACTTCTTACTTTCTGTGGTGTTAGACGTCCAGCTCTAGGCCTTTGAGTTTCACTTCCAGTCTTGAAGCTATTGCCTCTGTTCACAGAAAACTGTCAAATGTTTTAGACTCGGGCTTGCAGGTTTCCTCTTGGCAATGTTACCGTGACACGCTGTCCTGCCTTGTTTTAGTCATGCTGTAGCTGAGCATTGTCTGTCTCTCCCATGTACTTTTTGTTGCCTTGTCACACTGCTGGGGAGTATCATTTCCTCCCACAGGTGTTGCCACATGAGCCTTGCCTGCCTGGTTAGGTGATTTCTTCTGGTCTGAGGGAGGAAACACAACCTATGAGCCACAAGTGGATTTTCTCCCAAAGAGCAACAGGGATAGCAGGAGACTTGGTTCTTCTGCATCTCTCTGTGACGGCTCAGAGGTCCTGAGAGCTTTGCTGCTACCAGGAGAGTAACTGTCTGGAAATGAGACCAACATGGATGAAAGTGTTGTGCCCGAATCGATAGACCCCAAAAGATCACCACCAGGAGTTGAGTCCATTGCAAAATACATGAGGATCTTTTTATTACAGGCTGCAGCTTGGGCTCACACACTCACCACCGAAGTGGTGAGAGCCCTGTGCTCAGGTTAGTTGAGTAATTTAAAGAGTCTGGTCCCTCACAGCAAGCCCAAAGCAGGAGGATTCCTACCTGGCAAGCATCCATTGGTCGAAACACAAAAGAGATGCTGCATTTTGAATAGATTGGCTATAGGAAGGTCTCCAAACCATTAATGACTTGGTGTCCCTCCCTAAGGAGATGGGCCAGTTTCCTAGCACCTGTATCTCTAGTGGGCAGAAAAGAATGCATAAGGCTAGTTCTTCCCTGAAGGTGGCTGGATATATCTCCACTTGGCCAGCTTTAGTTCAAGCTTTAAACTTTAAAATAATAGTCACTGGTTTTTAATCCTTTGGTCTCTCAAAAGGGGAGAGTAAAAGAGAGTTGTCCTGATGACATAGTCTGATACTCTTTATTCATCAATATTGGAAGCCAGAGAACCCTCAGGTTTTCCAAGTCTATTAAGATCCACTCCCTCATTTAATCTAGACAGAAGGAGGCTCAGGCCTGTAGGGCACTGCAAATGAAATAGTCCTAAAGTAGATGGCTTTGAAATGTACATGTACAGAGCACACGCTTGAGTATTATGCACACTGGATCAGTTACCTACCGTATCAGTTACTTTTCTCACTGCATTGAAAAGAAAAACCCACAAAAGCAAAGTAAGGGAGTGAGAGGACCAGGCCTGCCCCCCCCCCATGCCATCAGTCCCAGAAACTAGGCCATAGGTCATCAATTCCAGGGACAAGGCCTTAACATTCCCTACCCAAGGAACAGCCTGAGGATAGCCAATCGTGTTGTAACAGGCTTGCCCTTGCTGAATGTCACCCAATCATGTAACTGTTAGGCTGGAAATTCCTGGTCCTTCCTCAAACCTCAATAAAAACCCTGCTGTGCAGTTGATCCAGGGCTCTCCTCTCTGATCCACTGCATTGGTGAAGGTGGAGAGACTGAGCTTAAGCCCAAATAAAGCTCTTTGCTCTTGCATACATGGTCTGGCTCCTGGTCATCTTTGCGGACCCTAAGATCTGGGTATAACAGGAGGATGGGTTTATTTTGGTTACAGTTTGAAGGTACCATCATCCATCACTGAGAAGTCATGGCTGGCGTAATGTGAGACATTGTGTATGTGGTCAGGAGACAGGGAGATGAAGGCTTGTGTTCAGTTTGTTTTCTCCTTCTTATTTAGTATGTATGTTAGTTAGGGTTACTGTTGCTGTCATGAAACACCATGACCAAGGCAACTTTGGGAGGCAAGGGTCTATTTCACTCACAGTTTCATAATAACAGTTCATCAAAAAGTAGTGAGGGTGGGAACTCAAGCAGGGCAGGAACTTGGAGGCAGGAGCTGGTGCAGAGGCCGTGGGGGGCAGGGGGTACTGCTTACTGGCTTCCTTAGCCTGCTTTCTGATGGAAGCTAGGACCACTAGCTCAGGGATGATGGGCTGGGCTCTCCCCCATCAATCAGTACTAAGAAAATGGCCTACAGCTGGATCTTATGGAGGAATTTTTCCAACTAAGGTTCTCTCCTTTCAGATAACCCTAATCAACATAAGACTAGCCAGCACAGTATGGGACCACAGGCTGAATATATGAGATGGTGCTCACAGTTAGGGTGAGCAGCTCCATTTCAACTACCCGAATCTAGAAACTCCCACACTGGCACCCCAGAAGTCATCTTCTACGTGATTCTAGATCCTGTTTATAGTAACCATCACACTCCTGTACCAAGAGTGCCTTGACTCTTCTCCCTCTGGTCCTCATTCTCCCTTTTCTTTGCCATAGAGGTTTTCCCCACAAAATGCGATCCTCCATAAAACTCCAAAACATGGTACTCCCTCCATGCCTTTGGAGAGGCTCTTATGCACCGAGGCTGGCCTCTAGCTCAATACGTAGCTGAGGAAGATCTTAAGTCCTGGTGCTGCTACCTCCTTCCCAAGCACTGGGGCTTCACGTGTGCACAACCACACCTGGTTTAGACAATAGAGTATTTCAGGTGAATCAGGGGTAGGGCTTGGAATGCCCTGTGTCCATTCGCTCAACTCCATTGCTTCTCTGCTGTACCTTAGAAAGCCTGAGAGCCCTACCAAAGATTAAACACAGCCTCGGAGTAAAGAATATGTAAACTGTACGCTCCCCCTCCCCCACCCTTTCTTGTGGGATCCAGTTTTATCTTTGGAAACACAAAATACCTACTAGAGAATTTGTTGAATATTTAAAGAATCTAAATATATCCCCTGGAGTAACTTTTGGGAAATATAAAACTATTAAGCTGGTGTTTATCTCACTGGGCATAAGAATAAGACAGCTACCACAGTTTTTGAGCCAAATTTGAAGCAGATTTTATGAAGTACTGGCCAGGCAATGGACACTGGCCAGGGCCACACCTGGAATTCCTAGAGAGTGGCCGCAAATCACATTACTCTGTAGCTTATAAAGGCAAAACCCACAAGGCATGTACTTCCTGCCTTCATCCAATCAGGGGCAAGGAAATATCCTGACATACTTCCTGCCTACATACCTCCAGCCTACATATGAACAAGCACATTCCGTGCAGTTGGGGCAACCAATGTTGGTTATGAAAGTGAAAACACATGGCTGTTGGCATAACTTTTAAAGAACTCTTTCATTTACATTCCTTATATCTCTTTCACCCTACTCCATCCTAATCTCTAACACCCCAACACCAGGTAGGAGAGAGAAAGGGTTAGTGGGAGAGGGGGCACAGTTCTCTTAGCTGGTTCCTGCTGGTTAGGGTCACTGGGTTCCTTGGAGCCAGTCCAATCCTCATTTCAGGAGATCTCCAACTTCTCGTCTCACAGCAGCGACCAGGAGCAGCCTTGTTCTTTCTCCTTTCCATACTCTCTGGACTCTGGCATTTATTCTGTCTCCAGACTCCTCAGAGTTAAACTATCTGC